AATTAATAGTTTTCCAAATGACTATATGCATTCTGTCTGTCTGGGAGTAGTACGAAAACTTCTAAATTTTTGGTCTTCTGGACCATTCAGTGTTAAGCTATCTTCGCAATCACTAAAAACAATATCAGCTCGATTAATTCATGTTTCATTGTTCTTTCCATCAGATTTTAACAGAAGACCTCGTTCATTGGAGAGCATGAATAAGTGGAAGGCAACAGAATTCCGATCATTTCTCCTTTATTCAGGGCCTATTGTTTTGTGTGATATTCTTAGTAAACCAGTTTATGAACATTTTCTTATTTTACATAGTTCCATATTTCTATTATGTAGGTCACAAGAGCATGAAGTTATTAAATATTGTGGTGAGTTGCTGAAAATATTTGTTACAAAGGCTGTTGCCTTGTATGGCAAATCATTTATGTCATATAATGTGCATTCTCTTATACATCTGCATAATGATTGTTTACAATTTGGACCGCTTGGCAATTTTTGTGCTTTCCCCTTTGAAAATGCTCTTGGTCATTTAAAACGAAGAATTCTAAGTGGATATTTGCCGCTTCAGCAAGTAGCTTCTAGTCTTTCTGATAACAAATCTGAACATTCTAGGAAAGTACACACTGATGGAGTTTCCCTTCAACATTGTAGTGGGCCTTTACCAAATCAGGGCCATTTTTTGCAATATAAAGTGTGCCATTACAAAAATCAAAGGTTTTCAAGCGGTTTGCGGGATAGTTCAGTAATGGTAGGACAAAAGTGCTATCAAATAGTTAACATCTTAGCAGAAGACTTAAAAAATCCATTATTCTTAGCCAGGTGTTTTACTGTGCAAACAAACTTTTATGACGTTCCACTTGCAAGTTCGAAACTATCTATTTTTAAAGTTAGTTGTCTTAGTGACACTTTGCATACAATTCTGTTTTCTGATATTGTTATTAAATGTTGTTGTCTCCCATATTCTTCTTCCTTTGTTGTAATCCCATTATCAGAGATTTGAGTTCTTATTATATTTTAGAGTTCTATATATTTTTTCAAATAAGATAATAAATTTATATTATACAGTATTTGTAATTTGTTCCATGTCTATTTATGGTATACAACATGTATTTCATTTTGTTATATCTATTTATACATTTCTTACAATTACTTTAATTTATTTGGGCAGCTTTTTAAATATATAGTGTAAAATTATGAACTACATTTACACATTTTATTATTTCTTTGTTTTGAAGTTTAAATTTGCAGAATGTTAGTTCTTGAAGTATCTTTGAACGTTGTTTAGCAGGATGTAATTGTATTACTCTTATATGGTAAATAATAGGTAAATAATAATAGGTCTTATATGGTAATTAACTATTTTTTTTTTCTTTATTTAAATTAAGCAAATTTTTTTTTTTAATATTTTGTATTTGAAATTTTTTTTATAACAGATGTCTTATTCAGTAGTTATTTTTAATATTGATAATGAAGTGGCAACAGTGTCCAGTAAATGGTTCAAAGATTCAGGATGCGTTTTGTGGCCCAACTGTAGAGTAGGGAAGAAATTGCAAAACATGTTACTAAACCATGAAGAGCCAGGTGCTTACTGGATTTCTTATGAAGTACGAGTGTTTTCCAGTAACATCTGTAGGTATTTTTACTGAGAGTAAGCATTTCAACTGACTAAAGGAGACATGTTTTCTTAATTTTTTAATTATGAAACAGTTTAATTTAATATCTTTATAATTTTATTTTTGTAGTAACTCTCAAATCAGCAAGGGCAAAGGAGCGACTAGCTGAGGAAAATTCTGATCTTAGTTCAGCTGAAGATGGTAGCAGAATTATATATGCCCCTAGCAGATTTAACAGTCAAGAATATTGTCAACCACCATCCAAAATCAGCAAATTAACTTCAAATAGCCATACCACTTCCTATTTAAACAACCCCTTGATTCCTCATGCACCATCACTAGTTTCTAATCCATCTTTAATTCAAACTTCAGCATCGTTTTCTAGTAAGCTAAATGTTTAATTTTGTTCAACAAGAACAGGCTTGTTGACTGATTAATCATTTAATGATCTTAATAACCATTTTTTGTATCTGCATATAGCATTTTTTATATCTGCATATAAGAATATGTTAGATTTGTATAACTTTTATGTAGCTAGTCAATACTGAAAAAAAAAATTTTTTTAGATGATGATCATAGCATATTTAATACGCAAGAGTTTTTACGACCCTTAGCCAAAAATAGAAAATTTAATTCTAACTGCCAAACCACTTCATCTAATAACTATCCTTCATTTCCAGATAAATCAGCACTAGTTCCTGATTTTTCAATTTCAAACTCTGTTCAAACTCCAACACCAATCTCTAGTGAGTTACTTAATTTTATTCTGTTGAAGATTATTCTTTAAAATATATTGAGCAATGGCTTTTTGCTACAATTCCTTATTATACTGAAGATGTTTTTGATTATTAAAATATTTTTGTTTTATGGCTTGTTTTATAACATAAGACAGTTTAATCTTTTATTATCGTTAATCATAATCTTAAATTAGTTCTCGTAAATCATAATAAGTAAAATCAAATATTTTACATTATATAATACAAACTATTTCTCCATCTGCATTTACCGGTTAAGGAATGGTGTTATAATTTGCTCTGGATCTGTTGTTACGTTACCAGAAAGTTTTTATTATTTTTTAGCTAATGTTCCTTGTGCATATCATTGTACGCATGTTGTTACGTGGTTTGAGAAATTATTTAAAGAAATACAACAAATGCGTGCAGAACAGACTGTGATAAATCATCGTTTAGATCAACAATGTCAAAATGAGCATCAGCATGTAGATAGCAATTTTTTGAATTGTCTTCCACTTGAGAGTGAAGTTGATTTTGAACGATTCGGTATAGAGATAGATAGTGACAATGGAAAACGAACTTCTTTGGTAAGTAAACTTTTGTGATGTTTCTGTTAGGTATTCTATGGGTAAAATATTTGAAGGCATTTAATTTGGGTTGTTTGAGCAAATTTGTCTATGTTATTTATATAAATATATAAAATTGTTTTTTTAAAGTTTATGTAAACCAAAATGTACAGCATAAAATGGATATTTTCTAATTGTTGTTCCTGTTTAGATACGTTATTTGCGGAAGAGGTCAGACTCAAATGTCAACAAGACCATACTAAATATATTAAGAAGTTTATTAAAGGACAATGTTCTTAGTTGTTATTCTAGAGATGGGAAACGCGGAAAAAAAAGTTTTTCTTCAGCAAAGGGAAACTTTGTTTCCATAATTCAAGGTCAATATATTTAATATATATGAAAATTACAAGTATTACTATGTATAAATTATATATTATCTTATTTATAGTTATATATTACCCTAAATGAATCATTAAATGTATATTTATATATATATATATATATATATATATATATATATATATATATATATATATATATATATATATATATATATATATATATATATACAGTTATGGCCATTGAAATCCGACCACCAGTATCATTTTACTTAAAACTAGTTTAATGTAGTAATAAACAATTGTATTATAGCAATAAAAGAATAACAGTAGCAATTAATGATTATAATGTAACATATCGTACATATTTAATGTTAATATTAATGTTTTTTACTCTCAGGTTCGTTGAATTTAATATTTAGTGGCACCACCATGTGCTTTTAAGACTGCATTAATGCGATCTGTCATTGAATCCACGAGAGCCTAACAATATTCTGGTGTTATTTCAGTAATCTAAGCTTGACGAATTTTGTGCGCTAGATTGTCCAGTGATGTAGGATTAGTTCTGGATACTGCTGACTTTAACTTGATTAATTGATTAACTGCTGACTTTAATGCGATCCTATCACGGATGTTCTTTAAAGACAGTCGCGGTTTGAGGGCTGGACGACGAGAACGTAGGCCTACATCTTTCAATAAACGTCTTCTTATTGTTCAAGTGCTGACTGTAACGTCATTAGGTAGATCTGCTCTGATTTGTGTGCTGGATATTGTTTGATCTCTCACAGCAGCCCTGCGTATCTTATTGTCTGTTTGTTTGCTAGTAATTCTAGCTTTACCAAAACGTTTTTGGGCGCAGTGGATCCTGTGTCTTTGATTAGTTGTATAATATCATGAACATTTGATTTTGGCATTCGATATCTTGCATATATCTGATGCTCACTTGCACCATCCTCCCATAAAAGTTTAATATTAGCACGAACACCTTTCTTCGTAGTCATAATTAAATTGTGACAGTTAAATGATAATCCATACCCTACAATGAGATATATAGCTTAATAAATTTTACAGTGCAATAAAATAAACACTAATGTGATTGTCTAAAAGCTAATTAACTAATATTCGAGTGCATAGACTGTTTTTCTTTATATTCAGCAGTGGTCGGATTTCAATGGCCATAACTGTATATATATATAAACATATAATAATTTTTTGAGACCCTATTTAATGTCTTTTGAATGTGATTAGTCAAAAAATTTAATACATTTAATTTAGATGTTGTTTTGAAAGTTCATATAGGTGTGTCGTTGGTCCAAATAAATGTTGCGATTTCGGAACAATTAAAGAGACTCAATCAAAGAAATCGAAATTCTAAGTCTACAACAGCTGAAGAAACTACACCTGAAATTCCAGAGTTTAATTAAAAACCAATTATTTTATTAATTTTAAAATAAATTGTTAAAATATAAAGTCTTTTTTATTGTTGAGAAAGACTTATAAGTTTGAAAGATCCTGCTTACACACTTTGGTTAGCACTATGACATGTTACTTATTTAGGGATAGGCGAGGGCTTCAGTACATACACTGACTGATTTAGGGAGAACTCGCAAGTAAGTTAAAAACACATCCATTTTATTTATTATTTATTTTATTTTTTTGAAGAAGGTCAGGTTTTGATTATTGATGAAAAAAATTTTTTGTTTTATGACATGTTTTAATAAAACATGTCCTATAACAAAACAGTTAAATTTTTGTTCATTAAAATCGACAATTATCTTCATTTTATATTTAACATAATAAATATTTTAAATATAAAATATAACATTTTATTCTTTCATTTACAGGTGGGTAAAGTTTTTGTTTTATTTTGAAACGAGAACATCATTTGCTCTGCAGCTGACGTTCTTGTTTTAACAAAAAATGTGCTATTTTTTTGATAATGTTCCTTATTAACATCATTGTAACAGTTGTTTTTTGCACGGTTATTTAGGTTGCTTGCTTAATTTCATTAAATAATTTATGTTATTATGGCTGCAAAATTATTTAGAAAAATACAGCAAATGCTGGAAGCTAGAACAGGAAGTTATAAATCAGCATCTTGATGGTAAAATGAAAATCAACATCTAGTAGCACTTCTTTGAATTGTCTTTAAATTAGAGTAATGTTAATTTTGATTGGTATGGAGATAGATGCATACAATGGAAAACGAACTGCTGTTATGTGAGTTTTTATAAATTTTAGTCTTTCTGAGGGCCTAATTAAAAAAAAGATACTCAACTTGGTTTGTTTGGAACAATTTTGGTTATATGGTATAAAAACTTAAAAAATTAGTTTAATGACTAAACAGCTTTAAAAATAATCTTTTACTACAAATAATGAACAGACACTAAACAAAGTTATATACTTAATTGTAGGTAGTATGTTCAGCTGTACATAGTATGTTTTTGTAATTTTTCTTTATATCTAGATTTTTGGAAGATGTTAAACAACAAGATGTAATTCGAGGTAAAAATATTTAGTATATGATATTTTTTATTTACTTAGTTATGTGTGTGTATTTGACATATTTTTGCCACACAAAACATATTTTTTGTGGGGAAGTAATATATGTTTGGGAGGAGAACATTCTTGAGACACTGTAAAAGTATTTTAAATAGTATTGCTTATTTTTGTTGTTGGTACATTCAGATACTGTTTAGTATGTTTTTTAGAAACTATTTGTACGTTTAGATATTGTTTCTAAAATTCTTAAAGACGTGTTATTCGTTCAAGTAAACGATGCTGTTAAAGCAGGTTGTCTGAGCAGTTAAAGAAACTTAATCAAATGATTCAAAATTCTCTTCTTTAAGCAGCCGAAGCAACGATACTCGAAATGCCTGGAATGGATAATTAACCAAGTAATAAATAAACTTTGAAATAAAGTTTAAAAATAAAAAATGTCTTGTTTATGTATACTGTATTATATATGGCTTATAAATTTAATTGCCGAAGTTACATAAATAATACTAAAAAAAATTCTATAAAGATAAGTATTTAAAACAACCTATCAGCGGCCAATAGTACCGTAAAAAATACGAAAAAAAATACGTATTAATACGTTCAATAGATACGTATTTAAAACACCCAATCAGCGGCCAAAAGTACCGTAAATAATACGAAAAAAAAAATACGAAAAAATACGTATTAATACGTTTAAAAGATACGTATTTAAAACGCCCAAACAGCGGCCAAAAGTACCGTAAATAATACGAAAAAAAAATACGAAAAAATACGTATTAAATACGTATAATTTTGTTTGGGTA